ACATTTAATTAAGAGCTGCTTTTATTTAACCGTCCAGATGATTGAAACTTTTTTAGAAATGTCAGAGGGTGTGGTGGCGAGGGGTTGGCCGGCACCGGCACTGGTGGCCGGTCGGTACACTAGGTGGCCACGCGGCCAACCGGGAGGTAACTCTAGCCTTTGGCCGCGACGACACCGCGAACACGACCTGGGCCTCGCGGGGCCTCGCGGGGCCGGAAGGGGCGGCCCTGCGATCGCCATGTCGCCGCCGAAGCACGCGTCACTTTTGACGGGCCGGGCAAGCGGCGAGCCTCCCAGGAGGACAAGCAACGCCGCGCTCCCGGCCAAAGGCGTAGCCAGAGGCTACCATAGTCAGCCAGGGGACCGGTGGAGGCGGTCGAAATGAGGTCTGAGCGGGAGGCTTCTTCACCGCTCGGCCGCTAGATGGGCCAGCGGGCGAGGGTCGCCTGGAAATTCAACGTAACGGGAGCGGTAGGGTAGGCGTTGCGGACACGACGCGCCCGACGCTGAACGTTACGTTGGATTTCATAGCGACCTCGCCCGCCAGCGCATCTAGCGGCCGAGCGGGAAGAAGCCTCCCCGCTCAGACCTCATTCCGGACGCGTTTTGAGCTCCAGAGTCGCTAATCAGGGCTCGAACCGAACGTGTGATCCCACCAACGGATTGCTCTTCGAACGAGGAATCCATTGGTGGGGTCACACGTTCGATTCGAGTCCCATTTAGCAACTCTGAAGCTCAAAACGCGTCAAGAGTTTTGGCCGCCTCCACCGGTCTTCTGGCCCACTGTGGCACGGCGCGAGTAACTGCCGAAAGGAACAACCTCGTTGATACCCCATTCCACCCACGCGCGAGCCCGCGCCGTAAAACCAGCACAGCGATTTCAAGCGTTTCTTTCCGTCGCTCTGTCTCTCTCGCGCTGGAGCAGCGTCGCGCAAAGGTGCGAGAAGGACAATCGCGACAGCGCGGTAAATAATCCCCCGGCTGCGCGGAAAAGCGGACACGCGGCCGAGTCCGGGCGACTGGCATAATGCAGCCGTGCTGCCGCCTCATTCGGCATTCCCCTTGAAAGGGCCGTCGAGCCGCCGCGCCGTTGTAACGAACGCAGTGGCTCAGCGCGGCGTGTGCGCGTTGCTGCGCCAGCTACGTCACGGACTGCGGCACGAGAGCGGCGTCACGGCGTCACAGACTAAGAGCGTCGTCACTGGCTGCGTCACAGACCGAGCGCCACGCCAGGAAGGAGCGCCGCCTGTCACGAAGCCGCGTCACAGTCACAGAGCGTCGTCACAGCGCTGCGTCACACACAGAGCACTGTAAATGTCACGACCTGGACGCCGCCCCCACATGCAGCTGCAATAAACGGACGCAAGACCTTCACATTTGAACCCGCGACACAAAACCGCCCCCCAACAACAGTTGCCAATCACTTTTCGCGCGCAAAAGTTGGCAGCCATTTGGGGCGGGAAAGGCCGCGTGCCGCGTCGCGACGCGTCGGGCACCAAACAATTAACGGGCCGCCAACACCTCGCGCGTTTCTGACGGCCGGCCGGCAGTGGCCAGCAGGCTCATTCAGAGCGGTGCTGTCTCTCTCGCACCCCCGCGGGGCGCCCCATGAGTGCGAGAGAGACGGAGCGACGAAGGCACGGCTCGGAATCGGCCGCGGGCTGGCCGCGGAACAAACGCCCGAGTGACTTCTTTGTTGGTTGGCGAGCCTGGCAGTGATTACGTGCCGCGGGGCGCGGGCCGGGGCGGGCCGGGGTGGCCCTGGAGTGGACCGAGAGCTTTCGCGTGTTTCCATTTCGGTTGCAAAATGGCCGGGCAACGGCCGCTTTTTGTGTGTTCCGGTAAACGGATCAGAGGGCGGGTCCGCGGTAGACCCGGTGCCGTCTCTCTCGCACCCACACGGTGCGCCCCGTGAGTGCGAGAGAGACAGAGCGACGAAGGCTCCGTTCGGCCTGCAGCGTGTGTCAGCGCGTTTCGCCCGACCCGGACCGCCGCCGCGTTCGACGTTCGAGAAATTACCAAACCGAGCGGAAAGAAGGGTCCTGTCTTGTTTGCAATCTCGGAGGGAACTCCGCGCGCGCCGCGCCGCATCGGGGAGTTCATTGCTTCTCCAAGTCAGGGGAGGGGGCGCCACGGCGCGACCAAAGTCAAAGAATGGTCGAAACAGTCCTCGAATCAACTTCATTCATTCAGCAGGTTGCTCGCGGTACCGAACTGCAGCCCGGCGCATCGGTCCCGGGGCGAGGCAGGCGGAGGGCGACCACCACACCACGAAACGGACTCATTTTCGCGTTTTCTCCGCCCGGCGGACCTAGCAGCAGCGCTCGATTAACGCGGATGCGAAATGAAATTTTTTTTCATCCCTACGAAAATAAAAATGAAAACAGAAACCTCGGCGAGAGTGGGTTTACGCCCCGCTGGAGAGGGCGCCGCCGCGGCCCAGCAGCGAGGCTTCATTCATTTTCATTAAATCACATTCCCGCTTTATGAGATGCGCACGTGTTTTCCGCTCCGATTGATTGCCTGGCCGTTTTGTTTTATTCTACTTTTTGGCGTGAATGCAGTTTGCCCTTTACTTCGATCAGGTCCTCCCTCGCCGGGGGCCGACGGGCCGATGACCGTACCGCCAGTGTCTCTCTCTCTCTCTTCTCTCTCTCTCTCTCTCTCTCTCTCTCTCTCTCTCTCTCTCTCTCTCTCTCTCTCTCTCTCTCTCTCTCTCTCTCTCTCTCTCTCTCTCTCTCTCTCTCTATCGGCCAGAGAGAAAGAGTCTAAATAATTGGTGGCGATCGCAAACGAGTTCTCAAAGGCGTCGGCAGTAATTAGGATTCCCTGTCCCTGAGAACGGGGGCGGCGGCGCGTCAAGTCCCGGTCGCAACTTCGCTTTGTGCCTAGCCTGGAAAAACGGGGTGCTTTCCATCCTGTCGGGTGCATTTTAAGAATAGTTTTTCGTTCGTACTAGCAGGCGAACCGAACTGGGGGGGGGGGGGGTAGGCAGACTGCCGTGGCACTCAGTTTCTATCAGGCAGGCAGGTCCGGGCGGACAGTGCCCGGCAGGCCAGAGACGAACACACCGTAACGAAGTTGCTGCAACGGGAACGGGGGAACGGGCCGCCGAGTCGGTCGAACATTGATAACCGCGCCTCGCCACTGACCTCACGAACGATGCCTTGCGAAGAAAACTATCCCAAAGCATTTTGAGCAACCCCAACCCGAACGCGGTGTGACCCCTGGACTCAGATGAAGTCGGGCTTCTGTTGTTCGCTTTGGGGCTCATGGGGCTTGAGACCACCGAGGCTGCCACGGGGGCTCGTCGCGTATGCCAAAAGCTACCCGTCATTTGCGAAATTCTTCGTACATTGAAATGAAATTTTCATGCTCAAAGTGCCTCGAAATGTTTTTTTCACAGTGCTAAACGAGTGGGGAAGTCGGGGGTCGAAAATGGACATCCCCGCCCAGTGACAGAGGCGCGCACCCCGCGGGCAAGAACGCAGAGCACCAAAAAGGGGAAAACATGCGGAGCTGGGGGCCGCGCCATCAATACGCATGTACACTGTATACGCGTGACGTGCGCGTCGCACCCACTGTGGGGCCTGCAAGGCCTGCAAGGTGTGCTTCGACCTTCGCCGTCTGCGCCGTCCCGGCCGTCCCCCTGTCAGGACGACTCGCGTCCGCGTGCAGCACGGGGAAGACGGGGCGGGTTGACACCACAACCTTGATAAACAAACTTGATAAAGCAAGTCGCGTGAACAGCGAGGACACGAGTCGCTACATGCTAGTTTCTGGAGAAGGATGTCTCTCAACGACAGCTTTCGAACGGAACGCTACTTTCTGGAGCCTGGAAAACCTGCACTGGAATCCAGAACCCGCAGTCGGCGCTGGCGCGATGGACTCCGAAGAGTCGTGCCGTCATCCTGTCTCTCTCGCACCCCTACGCGATGGCCCGGGGGTGCCCGGGGGTGCCCGGGGGTGCGGCAGCGCCTGGGTCAGCCTGCGGCCTGCGCGGGCTGCGCCCTGAGCGTGCTGGCTCACCTTTGAGGAGTGCGAGAGGGTTCCTGTCGCGCTGCGCCCGTCGCCCTGCTGAGCCTGCTGTGCCTGCTGCCGCTGCTGCCGGTGGCTCTGCCTGTGCCCGATGCCTCGGTGCCCTGGTACACTGGTACACGCGGCTCCGGCTACTGGCGAGGAATGGGCCGCTCTCGGCGCGCGCCTCCCTTTATAAGCACCGGCCCAGGAGCCCCGGCCGCCCCGGCGCGGCCCGCGGGGTGACGCGGGGAGGGGGGGGGGGGGGGGCGGTCGGCGGGTAGGGGATGACGGGGCGCGGCAGGCCACCCTAAGGCTAAGGTCAGCGGGGTGACCAAAAAAGCGACCCGATGAAGCTGGCGTTCGAGCCCCCGCGTCTTAGCGGAGGAAAGTGGGAGGTGAGGGTCGAAACGGCCCGCCCTCGTGAAAGGCCCTGGACAGGGTTGGTGTAAATGAGCTCGTTTCTTACCTCCGTTCCCGAAAAGTCTTATTCCAAGAAGGGAGTATCATAGTCCTGGTTTTCATTGGTGAATATTGGAGTCAGTTTGGGGAAGGGCCAGGGACTTAATTAACTCTTATTCGCTATTGCAGGTGGATATGTTGCCCAGCTGTCAGGGGTTTCAGGGTTTTCCTCATTAATCCATGGTGTGGGTGAAGGTGCGGACGAGAACCAGATAGAGTTCTTTTTTAAGGGTGTATACAGAGCGCCAGATCCATCAACCCTAGCAACCATGCGACCAGCAAGCAACAGGACCGCATCATAGTGACGACTTATGTACAACTTCTCACAGGCGTTGTACATTTCACTGGGATCATTATTTTATTTGAATTATGTATTGGTTTCAGCTCACAAGACGTCCACTGCAGATATTACAGAGAGATAGGATTTTAAAATGATCAACCCCTCACTTGGTCTTTCCCCATTTAAAAATTGTCTCTCTTCCCGCGCTCAGCAATTTCTCATCACTATGTTATTCGAGACTCGAAGCTCGAGTGCCCGAGTCGATCATCATTTGTTGGTTAGAAAAAAAGGAAAACAAATCCTGTGTGAGTGTCAAAATCGACCCAATTTAATTGTTTTGTGTGTATAATTCGCAGTCTAATTTAATCTTAGACTTAAATCTTCTCCGTAGACTTCTTGCATCGTTTTGTGGTTTCTTTAGGCTGTTTACTTTTCATTAGACATTGTACGTGTAAGGTTATAAGTGGTGATGTGCCTGTTGCACAGGCGACACATTTCGTGTAAATCCCTAATATTTGTTGCGAATCGAGTCTTTAATCAAATAAGAATGCCCAGCTTGCAATAAATGTTCTTTATGTTGCGTGTAACTAGTTTTCCTTTGTGTTATTTTGTCAAAGCTTCATTGACGTTTGTAGGTTATGAATTGTTTCGGTCGCGTCTTTTAGTGTGTCAGTTGTAGTTCATTGTAGTACATCTGTTTTTCCCACTCTAGATTTTTGGTTTGTAGCATTTATGTTAGTTGTGACACATTTTGCCGTGAAACTTCAATCAAGACTTTCGTGTAGGCGTCAGGGTTGTCCCCTTTCATACCTGACCCTTATTTACTATTCAAAGTAGAAGTAGAGCTATCAAAACTGTGCCACTATTCTCTGTCAAATTTTCTAATTAAAATTTTTGTGTAAACGCTCGACTGTGATATCATCTGCTTCATCACCCTAAATTAAACATGCCTGATTGCAGGAGGATTCAGACCATCAACAAGGTGGCCTATAGCCACCATGCCATTTAAGCTCCGTCTGAAGAAAAGCAGACAGTACAATGTGGTATCAAAATCATTATTTGTCATCTGTGTGGAACTTCTGGATGGAGGTTCCATGGAATGTACATTGTCGGGAGAAAGTACGGGACAAGAATGTTTGGACAACGTTTGCCAAAGACTAGGGCTTCAACAGGTGAGCAATTGATTATTTTTCAGTTCGTAGATTAATGTTGCATGCCCTATTGTGTGTATTACACAGTTCCATTCCATTTTAATATTCCCTTAGATTATCTTCTAGTCCATTGGTAGCTATTTCATTCTATTTAATTTTGTTAGTACGTATATGTATGCTGTAAAAGACAAAATGTTTGTTCTGTTATGAATTACTTTGCAATTTGTATTTCTATTCTTTGTTTCCAATTTTTATTATTATTCTAGGAAAGTTGAATTTTTTGTTTCCCTTTTTTAGCCTGAATATTTTGGATTAAGATATATTGCATTAAATGGCATGCAAAGATGGCTTGAAATGGATAGACCTGTTAAGAGACAGCTTGACAAGCATGCAAGTAAACTTAACTTATTCTTGAGAGTCATGTATTATGTTATTGGGATATCACAGATACATGATGAAATGACAAGGTATGCACCTCTATTAGTTATTCTACGTAATTTTGTGTAGAGAATTTGAGTTCTAGGTAACTTGAATGCTATGTTTTGTACCTAGGTATCACTACTTCTTACAACTAAAGATGGATGTTATTGAGGGTCGCATGAGTTGTGAAGCTCGACAGGCCATTCAGCTTGCTGCATTCAGCATGCAAGGTGAGTATGTAGCAAGTGTAGAGCTTACTTTGCTGGTTTCTTCTTTATTGAACTCATGACAGATTTTGAAAGTCTTTTAACATTCAATGTAATATTCATGAGATTGTTGCAACTGAAATATATTTACTTTTTGCAGCCGAGTATGGTAACCATGACATGGAACGACATACCATTGAGTATTTGAAAGACCTTACTCTCTTCCCCAAGGTTTGTTATCTTCTAGCACTGTTGGGTCTTAATCAAGCTTCGCAAGTATTCTTACAACTGTTGTTTGTTTTATGATTTTTTTGTGCAGCACTTGCTAGAATATGGACACCTGGATGCTTTGATGGAAGGTGTTATTAAACAGCACCGAATGCTGAGAGGTGTAGCACCATCCAGTGCTGAAGAACACTACATTCAAGCATCTCAACAACTTGATGGTTATGGACAGGAACTGTTTCAGGCTTTGGTGAGAAAACAATAAGTCTGTTTGTGTACCATTCCTTTAAAAAAAGGTATTTACTGAATAACTTTTTTTTCCTTATTTTTCATAGGATGATACTGGAAATAATGTTGTGATAGGAGTGTCCTTGTCTGGAGTAGGCGTGGGATATGACAACAACCAACTATCAAAATTTTACAAGTGAGTCAACCACTCTAATTACGTCACATGGCACTACTCAGCTATTTTAGCAGAATTTGTTTACTGTTAATGTGTTCATGTACTATGGAAATCAAAGATAAAGATTTGTTCATTTTTCAGATGGAAGGACATTACCAATGTGGTAAACCATAAGCGCTATTTTGTCATGGAATGCCAAGTGCCCGATAGGTCTGTGCAGTTTCAGTTCACCGACGTTGAAAGTGCAAAGTATGTCTGGCGCATGTGTGTTTACCAGGTAGGTGGTCATAATCAGTTTGTGCTTCATCATTCTTCATTTAGACCAAGTTAGAGTTGTTGAACCTAATACTCTTTCCCTTGAAAAAATTTCAGCACAAGTTTTTTATGCAACATGAGCAGAGTGAACCCGACAGTCAGGCTGCCCAGAATCTCTTTGCTCAAAGTGCAACAGAGGTTTGTACCATCTCACTTTTTGTGTGGTTTATCTCTTGCAAAGCAGCCAACATCTCTTCAATTTAAAAAATACATTTTTTTGTTTACAGCTGGCAGAAAGTCATGAAGAACTGGATGGGGGCCGAGGAGTAACTTGGGGACCCACATGGACTTCTGTGCCCACCATGCCTGTTAGAGCCCAGTCAACGTCCTGCCTGGACCTTGCAACGCCCCAGGATATGGATCGTTTGAGGTGCCTATTTTAAGATTGGAAATAAACCTTTTCAATTATCATTGCTTATATAATTCAATTTTGATGATTTTATTCGTATCACTCAGGGCATTGCTACCATCCTATCGACCTGCCCCAGATTATGAAACAGCTGTGCAACAAAAATACCATTCTGGAGTTCGGCAAGAAGCAGTGCCAGCCAATGTGGTTCGACCGAGACATCATCAGTTGGGTGTCTTGTATAGCAGTCAACCAGAAATTCATCAAACTCACCTTCATGAGGTTTCTTTAATTTCTTTTTTCTTCCTTGGCACACTACTTATTTTGATGAAGTTTTCTTCTTGTCTTCATTTTCTAACAATTGCTCATATGTTTTTTTGTTTGTTTTTTTAGAATTTAAATTATGGTGCAGTGTATAAACACTATCCTGATGTTGCAAGGGTCGAAAGAAGATACATAGAGGCAAATACAAACAACCATGCTCTTATGCCCCCTCCTCACACCTACAGGTTTGTTTCATCAAATGAGTGCCTTACCTGGTATTTGTATATCTGTAAAATGACACCTCTAAATACCAATTTTCTTGATTTTCTTCTTTGTTTGCAGTACTCCTGACTTGGATGTAGTTGAGGGCCATCAACAAACATTTCTACAGAAGCCACCACCGCCCTATCCGATTAATCGGCCCAGCAGCAATAGTACTCCAGATTTGGCCTCACAGGCGCTTTGTGCTCCTCGGCCTCATTTGTGCAGCCCCCAGGTTGGTAGTGAACTGAGTTTTACTGAACAGCATGTGTCTCTGCTCCCTCAAAGCATTCTGGCATGCTTGGCCATGCCTAGTGAATGTGTGTGTAGAAGATGTTACAAATACCTCTTCCATTGTAGCTTTGATAAATTGTGCATGGTTTCTTTGCGCTTCCGATGTCTCATTGTTTGATTGTTTGACGTTTGCAAGTACAGTAACAATAATGTAGGCTGTTAGCTTGATTGTTAAGCTTCTGTTTTGAAACCTGTTAGTTTGTTACGCATCTGCTAGTAATTCTGTGAATAATATTTTATTCATGTTTGAAAAACTATTCAGCAGTATCATGCTACATTCTTTTCTTGGAAGCTGAATCTCTAAAGTAATTGGTGAGTTGTTTCAGTATTTAGCATCAAGTAGTGTTGTGTTATGTGTAGGTTAGTGGATCCAGTCCAGACTTGGTGTCCTCTCGGTCTTTGGGCTTGAACCGCATGGTTGGCCTGGGCGGTGGATTCAGAGCCCTAGGTCCACCCCTGGGTTATTCTCTACTACCGAACCCTGAAAGCCACCGCACTTATACCAACCTTGCTGCAGCTGCAGTTGATACCCACCATCAGGTATGTTAAGTGAGCATTGGGCATGTGAGTGCAATGATTGCCTTTTGTGCATCTTAGTTTGCATGGCATTTAATCTCTATATGTCGTTATACTGTTTGCACTGTTTGATTTCCTTTGACAATATTGTGGCATGGCAGATTAATGCAGTCTATGCCACACCTCTATGTTCAATCATAATCTGTGTTGTATTTTATTTTGTAAATAGTAGTTGATTTATTTCCCTTTTCCTGTGCTTGTCTCTTACAGTTATGTGCTTTATTTGACATAATTTGTTTGACAATACGAATTGCTCTAATAACCTGAGTTATTTTCTTTTTCAATATATTTCAACAAAACTAATTCCTTCTTGTCTTGCCTGTTAAGCACGTGGAAGAGTTGCGCCGAGGAAGAGAAAATGGTGGGCTAAGCAAAGTGATGAATGGCACTGTCGCACCACCCCAGCAGTTCCGCAACATGCCTGTGGCTTCACCAGTATCATCACAAGCACCTCAAACAGCACAGGCTCCTGAGCCAATATATGAAAATATTCCCCTTCCTTGGGCTGCAGAGGGTCGTGAGACAACAGCTGATGGTTTGTTCTTGTGAACATATTGAGTACTAGATTGAAACCAATCTGCTTTGTTATGAGTCTATTTTGTAATATTTGCCCCTATCTTGCAGGAGCTGGACCAAGGAGTCGAGCATCCAGTATTCAATCTGCTCCTGAAATGAGTAGAGGGTTAACTAGTGTTGAGCACCTGAATAACTCTCCCTCAATAACTGGAGCTGCTAATGCGAGTATCAGTGTCAGTGTTGCACCTATCATGATTGCCCATTCAGGCTCAACTCAGCAGCATCACGGATCCCACTCGAAATTATACGCTAGTCAAGAAAGATTACAGCAGCAGCCGCAAAGTCTGCAAGTACAGCAGTCCTCACTCCACCATCAAGTATTACAGCAACCATCGCAGCAGCAGCAAACTGTTTTGCAGCCTCAACAATCATTGCCTTTAACAGCACAACATCAGCAACAACCACAACAGCAACCCATGTCAATCCAACCCCATCATTTCTCACAGCCTCAGCAGCAAAAGCAACAACAACCACAACAGCCCCATCAGCAATCACCACTTCAACAGCAGTTACTTCATCAAACCCACCAAGTCGTTGCTTCACAGCAGCAGCCAAAACAACTATCATTAAATACTGATTCTATGTCTCATTCAATTGCTAATGGTGAGTTAGTCGTTTTGCCTTTTTATTTAATGCACCACAAACGTGATGCATTCTGTAACAGCACATGTGATTTGCACAGATCCAGGACAACCTCCTCGGCCCCATACTAGTCACAACACTTCGGCCACCTCCACTAACTCCAGCATGGACTCCTCATCTTCTTCTGGAAAAACCACTAGCAGGAAAGGCCGCCGCCTCAAGTGGGCTGGCTTAAACTTGCTGGGAGGGACAAGAGACAAGGACCGTAGTCATTCGGAAACAAATTCGGAACCCAACAATCAGCATCATTGGGGTACCGCTCTACCCCGTGTTCCCCTTCCATCTTCTGTGTCTAAGGAAACCTTGGTAAGATTTTTTCAATCAGATAAGAAGACAGATGCTCATTTACTTGACTCTCTAGTTTGATTAATTCCTTTTTTTTTTTTTTTGTACAGTGCCAGCTTCTAGAAAAGAAGCTTGTTGACAGTCAGCTTTTCTTCGAATTTGAAAAGATTCCTAAGAAAAAACAGAATGCTGAATTCTCCTCTGCAAATCATGCTGATAATATTGCTAGAAACAGGTAAACAGTAAATACTTCTAATTTTTAAAATAACATTGATGATCTTTATAACTTCCTGGTTTTAATTTATTTTTTTCTACTCACAAATATTTACTTACTTGTATCTTTGTGATTCAATCATACAGGTTTAAGGAGGTGTTACCATATGATGAAAATCGAGTTCGTTTGACTCCAAGTAAAGAAAATCGACAGGGTTACATCAATGCATCACACATAACTGTAAGTTGTAGTTACTCTGTAGTTAAAATTTATCAAGACCTTTCATTTTTATTCATATTGTTTTTGTTTTTTTGTTTTTTGTTTTTTAACTGTTCTGTCTCTGTCTAAGGCTACTGTTGGGACTCAACAACGTTTTTATGTAGCTGCTCAGGGCCCTCAGACAAATACACTTGCAAGTTTTTGGCAGATGGTTTGGGAAGCAGATATTTATCTTGTTGTGAATTTACTTGGAGCCAATGAAGATGGTGCCATACCTTACCTGCCTACAAACATAGCTGATCGCAGCCTTGACTTGGGAGATGTAAGTATAATAACAAATCAAATCATATCCTTCTATCTTTCTTTATTGCTTGGTGTTGTTGGTACTAACACTTGGCTGTGAAAATTCAGTTCCAGGTGTGGTGGCAGTTTTCTCAAGAGATGGGACATTGTGTCACCACCAAGCTACGTCTTTTCCATGCTGCTACACGGCGGGTCCGTGGAGTGTGGCATCTACAGTACCCTGAATGGGGTGATCAGGGGTGTCCCAACAATGTTGGTCACTTTTTAGGTATGCATTGTTTCAACTGGTTTGATATGGTAACAGCGTTTGTACGCTTTTAGACAAGCCATATTTCTGAGATTTTGCAATTTGGCCCATTCTTATATTTCAGGATTTCTAGAGGAATTGAATTCTGTTCGCCAACACACTGTGAGCGAAATTCCACCTGGTCATAATCGTAATCCACCTGTTCTAGTACATTGTAGTGCAGGTGTGGGACGAACTGGAGTGACCATATTAAGTGATTTACTGCTATACACACTTGATCACAACCAGGTATTAACAGAAGTCTATGCTGTGCCTTTCTTAAAAATGTATTGTAATTCAAAGGTTTTTTCAATCAAATCTTCTTTAATTCCAGGAACTTGATATTCCCCGCGTTGTAGCTCTATTACGTCATCAACGTATGCATATGATACAAACTGTTGCTCAGTATCGGTTTGTACATAGCCTACTTATCCACTATCTCCGGCAATCAAGGCTCATCTAATGTAAGTTCTGTAGCTAAAGGTCAACAAGTTGGCTTTGTACTCCAGTCTTCCCATCTCCTACCTCAGACTACAGTACCAAGAGTAAATAAATTGAAGTCCATTTGTTTGGAGGTTAATACTGAAGTCATGTTGAAGTCAAATGTATTTCATTTTGCCATGAAAAATCAATTACCAGTCATAATTTAATACTGTGGCTTTGTTTTAGAGGACTCGGCCACAGTGAATATACTGTAATAATAATTGTATTGTTAGCGCATTCACTGTGAGACAGGACAAATCTAGGTGTTAAAATGTCTGATACTTACACCTGCATACACCCATGAAATACTCACAGTGAAGGTGTTAATGAACATACATTAAAATGTGCATGTTACAGTGTTGTTATATAATCATATATTTGTCTACTTAATTAATTATAGGTATGTATTGTGATCCAATATTATTGTGTGCTTACATTAAGTTGAACTAGAAATTGAAATCATGGACTAATGACTGGTCAATTAAATTGTTTATGTAATTCCAAGAGACATTTGAGCCATTACTGACAACAAGACTGATCTCTTTGATTCCCTGCGGAATAACTAAACCCTATCTTAAATGTTAGGCTGCAATTTCTAGTAGCTACTTTGTTGTTATTTCTCTCAAATAGTTCAATGAGCTGGCCCTGTTTTTCTTGTTATGGCTGCTTGTTCGTCTGTGCATTGAAATATTGTGTGTTTTGTATTGTGTGACTTCTGAATGGAGCCCGTATTATGTTTACTGTTTATTGTCATTGTATCACTCATTATGTGTTTATCACAAATACCTGTGTATTATTCCCTCAGATACCTCACTTATTTTTTGACAATGTATTCAAGTGTTTGACAATACCACTGCTTTCTGGTGGAAAATTCAATTTTATTTTGCGGAAGGTACTCATTTATGAAATTTATTTTTGGGTCGAAACTATTTGCTTACTACCTTTGTACACAATTTTAATTAATGGGTTTTAGGGGTACATGGAATGAACAATTTTTTTTTTCTTATGGAAGTATTTTATGAGCCAGAGAGTCTAAGATTAGGTATATAATCTAACAATGGGATTCTGCAGTGCATAACTCGTACTTTTTGCAGTTAAAGAGCAGACTTGATGTGAAGACAATTTCCAAAGTAGCTTTGTGTTACCGTTTTGTTTTAATTTGTTGTTAATGTTTTTTTACTTGAAACTGCCGTTATTAATTTTTCATTTGTTGTAGTGTATCAGTTTTTAGAACAGGTAGTGCATGACGTAATCCCAAGGATTATTCTTCTCCTGCAAAAAGTATGTCCTGTGTATGGCTTGAGGTTTAACATGCTTCTTTTACAATGCATTTTGCATCCAACAGCATGCTTTAGTTTGAATCTCATTTGATTCACAACTTTAATCATACATTCATGTATTAGTCTTTGCTTCTATTCAGTACCTTGACCTTGACTCTTTATGATTTAAACTTAACTCGTATTTTAATGATCATGTGTGAACCCATGCAACTGAACTGTTCCTGCGCTTTGTAATGTTTTCCCTTATGTTCAATTAGTCATTTACAGTGATTGCAGTGATATTTTTATGCAACAACTGCTGTTATATGTGTGGTGTTTGAAATCAGCTACCGCCAAAACAAATGTTTTGGTCCAGGTACTAATCTTATGACTAACTGGTAAATATTTATGAAAAGTCCCACAATGATATTTTCATGTGTCATTATATTGTTTAAAAATGGGTATCTTATTGGGCCTGTCTATGCCTCCTTTGCAACACTGAGGATTAGGGTAAAAGTTAAAAGTTTTCTTTTTAATGAAGACAATGTGTAGAAGTAGTTTTGTCATTTCTTTCCCCTTTTTTGTTTCTAGATTGAGCTTGCAACAGTTTGACAGTATTTTTTGCTTGTGATCCATTGTCATTTGCTCACTGTGTTGTCGCAGTTTCCTCATTTTTTACTTGGGGCTCCTATTGTATTGGGAGAATCAAAATAGCAATAACCTGCTTTTCATTATTAGTTTTTGCACAGAAAGAATATTTGTGTTCATTTTCTTTCAATTATTTACAATGTCAATAATTCACCTCAATGATATTCTGCTTGCTCAGACGTTTGTGATGAAACCCTAATGGTTGACACTCTAGCAGTATTTGTGGAATCTTGCCTCTGATCTTTATTACCCTCTCAAGTCTGATTTTTCACCCTTTGCCCCCAGTATTACATCCTGTCTATTTATTAGAACATCTTTCTTCATCTATTACGCTTTTATAAATTATTTCTTATTAGAATGCTGGTTAGTGCCTAAAAGTGTAGACTTTAGTTCACCATCATTATGAAAATATTGATGCTCCATGCTGTGGAAATAATGTCCGATTCAACAGTAACAAAGTTAGCTTTCTCTTCACACATTGCCCACAGCCCTATGAGATAAATGTCGACTGGAGTCTTTTGACTTGATTTTACTTTATGTACTTACTTGTTGTTTTGTCACGCATGTGATGTACTCTCTTTTTTTTTTGACCTTGTGGTGCTACAATAAATAACTACAAAGACACGTGTATCGTGGTTGAATCATCCTCTCCACCCTCACAAGGATGACATTCGGCAAGAAAGGGAACGACCCAGGAGGCCACCCAGCGGTAATTGAGCTGAGACTGGTTTTCGCTTTGGATCACGCATTCATAACCATCGATTTTTGCTATTGTTTTTTTTTTTTTCTTTTCATTCTCTCTCTCTTTATAAATCCTCCGAAGTCGTGCCGCAGTCGGCTACTCTCGGCCAAGTGGCTATGATAATGACCCAATACCAGATGGTGCCGTGACGGGGCACGGCGGGGCGATATCCTAAGACACACATCCTGCCAGACTGCCGCCAACTACCGCCAACTCGTGCTGCAGAAACCGAAAACAAAAACAACATCAACTTGACGGACGGCGCCAGGCCCGGCCCGCGCTTTCCGCCCTGGGTGCTGGGCGTGCGCGGCACCGCGCTGGCATGGTGCTGGGTGAGTCATCGTCATGTCCAGCGCATTCGCCATTCACCTTCGCTTCGGGGGCGCCACGCTCCGCCCTGCCCTGGCTACTGAATCCCCCGGTCTGTCGCGGCACAGCGCTCCACGTGGGACAGCAGCTAGGCAGCCTCCCCCTTCCCCTTCCCCCTTCCCCTCGCCCCACTTCCGCCCCTCCCCCCCGCCCTTCCTGTTTCGGCTGGATTGGCTGGCCACGCTGCCCGTCCTGCAGACTGATTCCGAGCCGTTCGTCACTCTGTCTCTGTCGCACTAGTGTGGCGTGCCGCTGGAGTGCGAGAGAGACAGAACGACCGAAACGCCGCCGCATCCCGTCGCCGTGCCGAACGACGCGCGTCCAGGAGTCAAGTCGATAAATAGCAGTGTGGGGCCGTGCGCGTTTCAGTCGCCGACCGAGCGCCTCCGACAACAGACTCCACGCCGCTAGAGCACTCCGCAGCCACCATGAGGATCGGACAGGTCATCCCCAACTTCCAGGCGGAGTCCACGCAGGGCCCCATCGACTTCTACGACTTCCAGGGCGACTCGTGAGTACCGAGGACCTGTAGGACCGGCTGGGCGGAGGGAAGGCCCAAGCGCGCCGCTCTCCGAGGAAAGCTCTGGGCCTCAGAACACGAAATACTAGCGCCGAGGCGATCTCCAGTGACCCGTAGCACTGCAAAGTGCTTACACAAATTAAAATTTTTGCCCAAAATGTTTGTTATTGTGTCATGCTGTGGCAGTTGCCAGTGGAGGCCTTGGCTGGCGTTCGTCCCGACGCGTCCTTGGCACGCCCCTCGAGTGGCGGAGTGGCGCTGTGATAGTGACACTGACACTGCCGATCGGCCCGAGCCGTCGGACCTTGGAGTCCGGCGCGGTGTCACCGGGTGTCACTGCGATGGCACCTAACGGGCCGTTTCCTCTCTGGCCATTGGGCTGGGACCACTGGGACGCAGCTCACACGCGGAGCGTCCACTGAGCCGCGTCGCCGCGTCGCCGCGTACTCACGACCGAGATATTTATGGCATTGGCGTTGTTTGCCAAATGTTTTGCGCGCAGCTTGTTTGCCGCGCGCTGCTGCGCTGCTTCGCTCCTCCTTGGGCGTTTCTCGTTATGCAATCACTGAGTGTCCTGCCTTGCTTTGGCGGCTCTGCCCCGCAGGTGGGTGGTCCTGTTCTCGCACCCCGCCGACTTCACGCCCGTGTGCACCACGGAGCTGGGCCGCATCGCCGTGCACGCGCCGCACTTCGAGAAGCGGGGCGTCAAGCTGCTGGCGCACTCGTGCGACAAGCTCAAGTCCCACCAGGACTGGGTGGACGACATCAAGTCCTACTGCCGCGACATCCCCGGCGACTTCCCCTACCCCATCATCGGCGACGAGACCCGCGAGCTGGCCGTGCAGCTGGACATGATCGACGAGGACCAGAAGGACAACCCCGAGACGGCCATGACCGTGCGCGCGCTCTACATCATCGCCCCGGACCACAAGCTCAGGCTGTCCATGCACTACCCGACCTCCACCGGCAGGAACGTTGAGTGAGTACGGTCGCGGGTTCGAATACCAGCACAACCAAGACACTTTTCCGTCATTTTCCCCTCTTGACTTTCAGCGAAATCCTGCGGTGCATCGACTCCCTGCAGCTGGCCACGCGCCTGCCCTACGTCGCCACGCCCGCCAACTGGGTCCCCGGCGAGAAGGTCATGATCCTGCCCAGCGTCAAGGACGAGGACCTGCCCAAGCTGTTCCCCAAGGGCGTGGACAAGGTGTCGATGCCTTCCGGCGAGAACTACGTTAGGACGACCACGGACTACTAATCAAGCCCGGCCACATCTTCGCTTTGCGGCACGACGCGCGCGTGTATGTGAATGTGTGTGTGTGTGCCTGTGTGCGTGACCATTGCCATGAGCTATACTTGTAGTTGTGGGCTCCAAGGAATGCCGACGAAGTCCGTGTGTGTTGACGTCCTGACGGGACGGCCTGACGGGACAGGCCGGTCGGAGGCGCCTGGAGCAGCCTTGTCCAAAATCGAAGCCTGTTGGCACTGACCGACTTGCTGCGGGCATTCCCCCGCATTTCCCCGCAGAGATTATGAGATTGTGTGCGCGCGCGAGTGTGTATGTGTGAGTGAGAGAGTGTGTATGTGTGTGTGGGCGCGTGTATGAGGGCTGTCTCCGCTTTGCTCCTGTCCCATTCCATTTTTGTTACTTTTACAAATTTTTCAAGTCACAATAAAACCATAGAGAAAAAAAAAAAAATCGGACCAAGTTTTTTTCCCTGCAACAACCAGGGGCCAGGGAACTGCCACTTACACTCTCCTTCTAGCCACGGCCACATTCTCGTTTATTTGGCGCCACTTCTGCCGTAAGAGCGTTCGCAAGCCCCGCGAAGCGCCGCGAAGTGACACTAAAGTGGGCGTGCCGCGGCGTGCCGCTCGCTGCGCGGGCCGGGCGGCCCCGCCCCGCCCCGCCTCAGCCGTTGAGACTGCGAATCAGCTGCAGGAACGAGTACCACTGGTTCATGGCGGCCTTGTAGGAGGGCAGGTCGACGGTGCCCAGGATCGGGACTCGTGCCGCGCCCGGCTTCTGCGCCCGGGTCATCATGTTGAGCACCAACCTGGATGGATCACACGCGTCACCTGATACGGATTGGACGCTGCCTCTCTCTCGCAAGGAGTGCGAGAGAGACAGCGACGAGTTTGAAGACAGCGTGGAGCAGGGTGTTGCCGTGCAGTGCGGCCGCCCGTCTTTCTTTCTCGCACTCGTGAGACCTCCCTCAGGCGCGAGAGAGATGGACCGACGGCCGCACAGTGGGCCAGAAACCGGCGGAGGCGTCCAAAATTCTAGACGCGTTTTGAGCTCCAGAGTCGCTAAATGGGACTCGAACCGACCGTGTGACCCCACCAATGGATTGCTCTCCGGACGAGGAATCCATTGGTCGGGCACACGGTCGGTTCGGTTCGAGTCCCATTTAGCGACTCTGGAGCTCAAAACGCGTCTAGAATTTTGGACGCCTCCGCCGGTTTCTGGCCCACTGCGTGGAGTCAGCCTGCCGGTAGGCAACCCCTCCGACCCGAACCCCGACCTGCGCACGGGGATGTCCTCCTCGGTCCACTGGCTGCCCCAGACGGCGTCGCCGACGTCCACCGTGGCGATGGCCAGCGTGTCGCTGATGGAGGTGATGTTGAAGTAGAAGAGCAGCGCGCCGGGCACGATCATGGCGGTGTAGGCGTCGAAGATGCCGGCCGTCAGCTTGTAGGTGCCCATGAGCGTGGTGCTGAGCAGGCCGGTGATGAGGCAGAACAGCGTGGGGTAGTACGTGTCCGCCATGAGGTTGGCCACGTCCAGCAGCAGGCGGTGCGTGCGCACCAGGCGCAGGTACTCCGCCTCGCCGCGGCAGCTCTAGAACCCACCGCCGCGTTCAGAGGAGTCGTTTCGTCGCTCCGTCTCTGTCGCACTCATGGGGCCCCCCGTAAGGGTGCGAGAGAGACAGAGCGATACACTCTGCAGTGAGTCTCAGCGATCCGGTGGGCGACGGCCGGACGGCCTGACGCTGGGGGCCAATAGAGCCCTCCGTTATCCCTTCGGGGATGTAGGGATACTAGGGAAGTCCCTCCCCAGGACGTGCCTCCATGCGGATGGCGATGCAGTTGATGAGCGCGGCGGTGCCGTGCGAGAGGAGCAGCAGCGTGAAGATGATGGCGTTGACGCAGAGCGGGCAGGTGACGGTGCCCACCGTCTGGCACAGGCACACAAAGTACCAGAACGCGCCCTCCGGCTTGGGGTAGAACGACATGGTGAGCTCGCCCGTCAGCAGCGGCGACACCACCATCATGGTGGGGATGGTGACCACGAAGAAGGCCGTCACGTTCCTCGTCTTGCGCATGCCGCCCACCTGGAACGCTCTCGTCGGTCAATGTTGACGCGTCACTGCAAAGATGGAACAATTGAAATTTGAGATTGCCAAAAGTGGCTTTGCTTTTTTTGGCGCACTGTTTCGCGCAGCAGCGTCAGCTCCGGGGCGCTGGCGTCCCACTCCAGCTCCTGGGACAGCCCCACCAGGTCCTGGGCCATCTTGAGCGTGCTGGCCCTGCGCGACGTGAAGGTCACCTGCCGGTGCAGCCGCCG